TGGCACAGCATCACTATCCTGTGTTCCCCTTGCTTTCCCTCGCAGCCATAGATCCCCTCCCCCTCCTCCATCAAGTTTGATTTCCCAGCAACCAGGAATTTGGCAGATACAGCCAGTGAGCAGAGAAGGGAGGGCACTTTAGTGCGCACAATGAAGAAATCAAATTTAGTGTGGACATTTTTGTCTTATAATGTAAACAGGAAAGGAAGGCTTTCTGGAGGCAATAAACCATGGAAAAAGAATTGAAATATTATGAACAAATTAGGATTAGAATTATTCCAAATCTAATAACCAAAGAAGGTTACTAGATGCATTGCAAAATGTGTCTGCTGTACGTAAGATATATTGTACTCTCGCTCTTGTTTGAATTGTGTGACACTGACCATACATTAATCATTAACCAGCAAGTTGAATAAAAAAAAAAAAAAATGACCCAATTCTCCCATCCACTCCACTCCACTGGACTATTGTATGTGGCTGTGTTCACATAATAATTTGTTCTTAATATTTCCTGGCGGTTTTGACCTCTCATGGAATCATGTAGGTGTATAAAAATATTGTAAAGTATCAAATTGTTTACAATAATTTGATTGCGTCATGTATATTGATATATATATGTTTGTTATAGACGTCATGCCTTCTTGAGCACTTCTGAAAAAGAGATTTTTGTTGATCTCGAAACGCGTCAAGTACAAACCATGCATGATCCATGATTAGATTTGCAATACCATCTCTGATGACACCGCCGCAATATGTATTGTAGTTTTACATTTATTTCTGAAGATTGTAATAATAAAATTTCATACTGTTTTTATAAAAAATCTATTTTCAATTGTTGAAATTTATCATACAAGTAAAGTGTGCCATTAAAGTCCCACCAAAAAAGAGGACTTTCCCCCCCCCCCCCTTGTATTGTGTTCTGATGGTAGGGAGAAAATCCTAGCGGGCTGGTTGGTTCTGTACAACCAGCCTGCCCATACATGGATTGAAATTTTGGCCGATCCCTGCTGAACCAGCCAAATTTCAATTCATGTATGGCCAGCTTTAGGGTTTGTTTACACATGTGGTAATCATTGCTGCCCCTCTTAAAAGTGATCTGTGATAGATTGCTTTTCAGAAGCATTTGAAGGGCAGCTTGGAGACAATATGACACCTATTTTAACCATTGAAAGCCACATGCATTACACCCTGTTGTAGGGTGGTTGTGGTGTGTCTCCATTCACTTAAATGAGATGTGTTTAGGGGCAGTAATGTCCTCCAAACTTGACACATGGTATACATTTTTTCCATGCCACATCACTACCATGGCAGTGTGCACTAACAAGTTAGGTAGTAGGGTTGCCACCCTATCCGTTTAAACCCGAACACTCATTAATTACACAGGTTCTGAGGCTAATTTAATGCAGATAAGGCACTAGGTTAATTTAATTTCCACCTTAATCAGCCCCAGAACCTGTATAATTAATATGTGTTCAGGTTTAAAGGGATGAGGTGGCAACCCTATTAGGTAGCCCAATGTTAAGTTGCTGGTGGGCAGTTGAGGGTGGTAAAAATAGGCTGCAGGTAGCCACAAGGCCTAACTGTACATCTAAATGGATTTGTATTTTGAGGAAGTTTGATACTCTTTATTCCGGATTGGTTGTATTGGAAAGACCCAACATGTCCAACTTTTTCCTGCAGAAGTTTATCTGTCTCTATTGTCTCCTGGTACCCAACACAAGGCCCATGAGCTGTTGGGCACTATTTAGGCAGTAGAGTGGCAGTGATCAGGTATGGATGGATCGAATCTGCGGATTGGGGAGCATAATGGATCGGACTCTGATCCATTATGCTCAATCCGCAGATCCGATCCACCTGCGGGGATAGTCGGCTTGCTTTACAACTTACCTTTTTGTGTAGGGGGTCTAGTGTCACCCCATGCGGTAGGTGTCACCTGGTGCAGCGCACACCACCCACACCTGCCTAGGGACACCCCTGTCTTTAGGTATTGGAGATGAGAAGTGGGGATGTGGTCTGTAGTCCGGCAGGGAAGAACTGGGCAAAGCTGGCAACACTGATCGGGATTTCAGTGCCGCAGAAGCACAGCTAACCTTACCAGCGTAATTAAAACATCAAGTGATCATGGAGCCCAAGGGACCATTGTTGTGGACAGATGTTGACAGGGCAGGGGGGGCAGCAGTGCATGGAATTAACCGCTTGATCTCTGGAAGGTTTTTCCCCCTTCGTGACAGGACATTTTTTGCAATTCGCACTGTGCTACTTTAACTGGCAATTGCTTGGTCATTTAACATTGTACACAAATGAAATTTATAAAAATAAATTCACACAAATAGAGCTTTCATTTGGTAGTATTTAGTAACCACTGTTTTTTTAATTATTTTGCTATATAAATAGAAATTTTTGAAAGTTTTTCTTAGCTTCTGTTATAAAATTCTGCAAATAATCTTTCTTTATAAATTTAGGCTGCAATGTATTTTGTTACATTTTTATACATTAAATAACCCAATTCAGTGTATATTACCGTATTTTTCGCTCCTGTACTGTCTCCGCAGTCTCTGGTCAACTCCTGTACTATGTCCGCAGTCTCTGGTCATCTCCTGTACTGTGTCCGCAGTCTCTGGTCATCTCCTGTACTATGTCTGCAGTCTCTGGTCATCTCCTGTACTGTGTCCGCAGTCTCTGGTCATCTCCTGTACTGTGTCCACAGTCTCTGGTCATCTCGGGTACTGTCCGCAGTCTCTGGTCATCTCCTGTACTATGTTCGCAGTCTCTGCTCATCTCCTGTACTATGTCCGCAGTCTCTGGTCATCTCCTGTACTATGTCCGCAGTCTCTGGTCATCTCCTGTACTATGTCCGCAGTCTCTGGTCATCTCCTGTACTGTGTCCGCAGTCTCTGGTCATCTCCTGTACTATGTCCGCAGTCTCTGGTCATCTCCTGTACTATGTCGCAGTCTCTGGTCATCTCCTGTACTATGTCCGCAGTCTCTGGTCATCTCCTGTACTGTGTCCGCAGTCTCTGGTCATCTCCTGTACTGTGTCCGCAGTCTCTGGTCATCTCCGGGTACTGTGTCCACAGTCTCTGGTCATCTCCTGTACTATGTCCGCAGTCTCTGGTCATCTCCTGTACTATGTTCGCAGTCTCTGGTCATCTCCTGTACTATGTCCGCAGTCTCTGGTCATCTGGTCATCTCCTGTACTATGTCCGCAGTCTCTGGTCATCTCCTGTACTATATCCGCAGTCTCTGGTCATCTCCTGTACTATGTCCGCAGTCTCTGGTCATCTCAGGTTCTGTGTCCGCAGTCTCTGGTCATCTCCTGTACTATGTTCGCAGTCTCTGGTCATCTCTGTACTGTGTCCGCAGTCTCTGGTCATCTCCTGTACTATGTTCCGCAGTCTCTGGTCATCTCCTGTACTATGTCCGCAGTCTCTGGTCATCTCCTGTGTAGCAATCATGCACACAGAGATGGACGAGGTCCTCCATTTTGTTAAGAATCTTTCATTTTGTACCATCTCTCACTCCCAAAGCAGGTTTCCTCCTCAATCATCCCCCCTCCCTCGCTGTGGAGTGACATGTGGTCTGGGGGATGACAGAGGTCACAGGCAATCCAGACACAGCAGGAGGGCGTCAGGACTATAAAACCCCCCAGCCGAACTGGTGCCTAGGTACCTATTAGTTCGCAATCTGGGATATCTAAGACCATAAACCAAGTCCTTCACGGTGTTCAAAGACATTCCAGAGGAGTCATAAACTAGACACCACATTCAACATCCATTTTCCTCTATGATTTCAATCTTGGAATATGAGAGACTTACATAAAAACCAGGCATATATTCAGATTGGTCACTTTGATACAAGTTTCCAGATTTTTACACCCCCTAGCTAGCATATATAGGAGAGCAGAAAATTATATCTCCTGAACCATTCAAGTAGATATGACGTGTTAACAGAAAGTTTGGGGCTCACTGGATTCCTAGTAGATCAACACAGTATAAAGCAGCAGTAAACCGTGGCCTATTTGAAAAAGAAAAAACCTGCAATACAATGGCATAATGTGCTAGGATGCATTGCATACTAGCACTTTAATAAATGCTTAACTTACCCTGGCCGTCTATTGGCCAATCCGTGATGACATCACTCCGGCACATGTGTGCAGGAGTTTCTATTGCGGCACAGAGCTCTGAAGGGATGGCACAGGTATGCCGTCTCTTCAGGGTGCATGCGCCGGAGACATCACTGGCTGGGTGCAGTGTGAACATCTACTAAACAGTTTGAGTTCAGGAGATATTCACTGTACCTTATTATAGGCTTACCTGTAGGTACAAGTTTAAAAAATGTTAAGGAAATATATGAGGGGGTCTTCAAAAACATTCTGCAGTTTTATCCATATATATGTTTAAAAAAAAGTGCGTAAATGTTTTGGAAAACCCTCATATTGCAGTGATGTACCACGTTTTTTTTTTTGTCCAGATGTATACTTGAAGTTCATCCTGAGGTTGTTTCATGGGGGGATTATCACAATCCTTCCCCAACAGATTACTTTTTTTAAAGTATGTATTGGCTAGAGTTTCATTTCAGGGCCTCAAATGTCAACTTGTCCCACCCTCTCTGTTCTCCTACTTAAATCTGCTGTGCCCCCACATCAACCCCCTCCTCTACTACAAGCAGCACAAACCAACCCTTTCTGGGAAATAAAAGTTAACCACAGCTGGAAAAAATTAACACAAATGTCAGTCTTATGTTTTGAACTTCTCTTGAAATGGAATTTATTTCCAATAGTAAGGATTCAGTACTACTCACTCTTCTGTACTGCACAGAAGTAAACAGCAGTAGAAATGTTCTATACATAGTGGAAAGTTGAATGCTACTGGAGTTAGATTACTTTACGAAGTTGTCATTACAGTAATTTAGATCTGCTAATGGTAAATGATAGGCTTCAGTGGGACCAAAAAGAACAGTTACTATATCTAAATATGACGTGGTTAAAAAAATGATCTTACCTTGATGGAAAATACAAGAGCAAGCAGCCCAAGACAGAAAATGTTCATGTACATGGTGTTAAACATTGACCATAGGACGTGGTCACGTACTGGTGGGATCTCTGGCAATATTGTCACCACAGTGGCTTGGTTTCCCTGGCTAGGGATGTTCTGAAACTCCTGCATTTCTTTTGGCTGCTCATCGGAACAGGCACTGTACCTTGGTGGAGGATAAAGTTCACATACATAATCTCTGGTCTCCATAATTTGCCGAGAAGAGCGTCTGCAGGCCAGGAAAGACAATAGAGGAATGTTATGTGGGAGGGAAGTTACATTCCCCTTTGCATTTGCCAGGAAGGAGGAAAAAAAAAGTTCTACAGCCTTTCACTGGAAAGAGTACTGTATGTATTATGGAAACCAGTGATGTAACTACAGGACATGGGGCCCCTTAGTAAAATAGAGATGTGGCCCTTCGGTGGCCTCCCTACTGTCATTAATCTTATCATAAAGTATTGTTTAATCAAGGACAGATAGCAGAAAAGCCATCAGCATAGTCAGTACACTAGTAGTCCTCATGCACACTGGACGTTTTTACAGCGGCTGTTTTTGGCTTTTGACATTTTTTTCTACAGCCAGTAAACTCCCCAGCATGTTATCCTATGTGTCCATACACACATAGACTGTAATCAACGTTTTTTTTGGCAGGGACGTTTTTTTTGGCTGGGAAAAAAAACAGGACTAGTGGGTTTCTAAAAGAGTTTTTTTTGCTGTAAAATTGCTCTAATGCTGATAAAAGAGGTAAAACTCAGTAGAACGCGGCAAACCAGTGTTTTTGGACTTTTTTTCGACTAAAAAAATTGGGGGGGGGGGGGGGACTCTAGAAGACGCAAACGTGAAAAAACGCGGCAAAACGCTAATACAAAATGCTAAAAAAAACACTGAAAAACTTGCGTTTTAAACATGCTTTACACAGCTAACCTTACCAGCGTAATTAAAACGTCAAGTGATCATGGAGCCCAAGGGACCATTGTTGTGGACAGATGTTGACAGGGCAGGGGGGGCAGCAGTGCATGGAATTAACCGCTTGATCTCTGGAAGGTTTTTCCCCCTTCGTGACAGGACATTTTTGCAATTCGGCACTGTGCTACTTTAACTGGCAATTGCTTGGTCATTTAACATTGTACACAAATGAAATTTATAAAAATAAATTCACACAAATAGAGCTTTCATTTGGTAGTATTTAGTAACCACTGTTTTTTTTAATTATTTTGCTATATAAATAGAAATTTTTGAAAGTTTTTCTTAGCTTCTGTTATAAAAATTCTGCAAATAATCTTTCTTTATAAATTTAGGCTGCAATGTATTTTGTTACATTTTTATACATTAAATAACCCAATTCAGTGTATATTACCGTATTTTTTGCTCCTGTACTGTCTCCGCAGTCTCTGGTCATCTCCTGTACTATGTCCGCAGTCTCTGGTCATCTCCTGTACTATGTCCGCAGTCTCTGGTCATCTCCTGTACTATATTCGCAGTCTCTGGTCATCTCCTGTACTATGTCCACAGTCTCTGGTCATCTCCTGTACTGTGTACGCAGTCTCTGGTCATCTCCTGTACTGTGTCCGCAGTCTCTGGTCATCTCCTGTACTGTGTCCGCAGTCTCTGGTCATCTCCTGTACTATGTCCGCAGTCTCTGGTCATCTCCTGTACTATGTCCGCAGTCTCTGGTCATCTCCTGTGTAGCAATCGTGCACACAGAGATGGACGAGGTCCTCCATTTTGTTAAGAATCTTTCATTTTGTACCATCTCTCACTCCCAAAGCAGGTTTCCTCCTCCAATCATCCCCCCTCCCTCGCTGCGGAGTGACATGTGGTCTGGGGGATGACAGAGGTCACAGGCAATCCAGACACAGCAGGAGGGCGTCAGGACTATAAAACCCCCCAGCCGAACTGGTGCCTAGGTACCTATTAGTTCGCAATCTGGGATATCTAAGACCATAAACCAAGTCCTTCACGGAGTTTAAAGACATTCCAGAGGAGTCATAAACTAGACACCACATTCAACATCCATTTTCCCCTATGATTTCATATCTTGGAATATGAGAGACTTACATAAAAACCAGGCATATATTCAGATTGGTCACTTTGATACAAGTTTCCGGATATTTTACACCTCCTAGCTAGCATATATAGGAGAGCAGAAAATTATATCTCCTAAACCATTCAAGTAGATATGACATGTTTCATCTCATATCTCATAACTACTCCGCAGATGCGGCTGAGTATTAATATACTAGTGGCCAGGCTGCTGAATGCCCCGAGAACAAGTTATGAATCATAATATAAGCTATGAGTGATTTCTGTTCTAGCTTGGGTCTCCACCCCAACACCCCTCCCCAAATGAGGCCATTGGTTCTCTGCTGTAAGGAGACACCCTGCTGAGATTCTAGAAAAAGGCTGTTATGCTTGGAGTTGAGTGTGTGTGAGAGTTGAAGAATCTCCTGTTTTAACATCAAACTAAGCATCCTTTTGGCTCTGAAACTTGGAAGCTGCTTAACCCAGGACATTTGGCAAGTACTTTAACCCTCTAACTTCCCTCTGTTATCTCTCTGCTGAGGTATTGTTCTCTGTATATTTATATATATATATATATATATATATATATTGGCTACATCTTTTTCTGTAAATATTTTTATTGCACCCCTTTGACCTTTTAGTAATAAATCTTACTTTCTGAAAGTGTTGAACTGTTTCTAAAGCTCGTTAACGCAAATTACGAATTCCTACCGCTGAAGAGCACTACTGTGTGTGTTTAATCCTCTGTATAACCTGCCTGCAGTGACAGTGGTATGCAGACGATTATTCAAACATCATAGTGTATTGCTAATATTGCCGAGTTTCCTCTTTCTCTGTACAAACAGGAGGTGGTGGCAGTGTGAAGGGTTAATTGCGTAATTAACCTGACCCAGTAACAATCGCTTCCAGGCTGCCGGTACACAGACTGTGGTCCATTAGCTGGAAAATCTGTGTGCAGGGTGCAACTGGGCGTGGCATTGTTACGCATGTGACAGAGCGGTTTTAGATTGGCTAGTCCTTTGGTCACGAGTTTGGTGAGAAGGGCTGGGGTTTGACGCCGCGATCATCACATCCTGTACTGTGTCTGCAGTCTCTGGTCATCTCCTGTATTATGTTCGCAGTCTCTGGTCATCTCCTTTAGTATGTCCGCAGTCTCTGGTCATCTCCTGTAGTATGTCTGCAGTCTCTGGTCATCTCCTGTAGTATGTCTGCAGTCTCTGATCATTTCCTGTACTATGTCTGCAGTCTCTGGTCATTTCCTGTACTATGTCTGCAGTCCATTGGTTCAGAATATTTTTTTTCTTGTTTTCCTCCTCTAAAAACTAGGTGCATCTTATGGTCAGGTGAGTCTTATGGAGCAAAAAATACGATATTTAGTCTGTGTGAAAGTTTTACAAACTATAGTACATACACTATATTGCACCTGCCTTTACACGCCCATGAACTTTAATGGCATCCCAGTCTTAGTCCGTAGGGTTCAATATTGAGGTGGCCCACCCTTTGCAGCTATAACAGCTTCCCCTCTTCTGGGAAGGCGGTCCACAAGGTTTAGGAGTGTGTCTATGGGAATGTTTGACCATTCTTTCAGAAGCGCATTGATCAGGTCAGGCACTGATGTCGGAGGAGAAGGCCTGGCTGGCGGTCTCCTCTCTTAATTCATCCCAAAGATGTTCTATCGGCTTGAGGTCAGGACTCTGTGCAGGCCAGTCAAGTTCCTGCACTCCATACTTGCTCATTTATTTTAGGTACTTATATAGCACCATCAATTTATACAGCGCTTTATACATTCACATCAGTCCCTAACCCTCAAGGGGGGTGAACAATCTAGGGTCCTAACTAACATTCATAAACATACTAGGGCCAATTTAGACAGGATCCAATTAACCTAACAGCATGTTTTTGGAGCGCTGGAGGAAACCGGAGTACCTGGAAGAAACCCATGCAGGCACAGGGAGAACATGCAAACACCAGGCAGGTGGTGACATGGTTGGGATCATGCTCATCCATGTGTTTATGCACCTTGCTTTGTGCACTGGTGTGCAGTCATGAAATTGTCCAAAATGTCTTGGTATGCTGATGCCTTAAGAGTTCCCTTCACTGGAACTAAGGGGCCAAGCCTGGTGGGCAGGTACAGACCTAACAATCCTGTTACCGTATAGATACTGCATGCAGACAACATTATTTCCCTTCTTTACCTAATTAAATGGTTCTTTTGGGGAGTACCATCTGCTAATTTCCTTCATCCTGTTAGTGACCACTGCATCGTGACAAATCTGGGCCCCATCATAACCTAGCCGAAAACTGAGGAATACACCTACCTTTAGGACTTCTTTATTCAAAGGACTCCATCTACAGAGTGGTTCCCTGACTGTTTATCATTATTGCTGAATTGTTCTTCGGTTATTTACCGGGGAACTCCTACCCAGAACTCCTATGCTCCTACTGGGCACTTATACCCCCTTCCTGCCCAGGCCAATTTTCAGCTTTCAGCGCGTTGTCGCAATTTGAATGACAATTGCGCGGTCATGCAACACTGTACCCATATGAAATTGTTATAATTTGTTCACACAAATAGAGCTTTCTTTTGGTGGTATGTACTCGCCACTGGGTGTTTTATTTTTTGCACTATAAACAAAAAAAGAGCAAGAAATTTGAAAAAAAAAAAAGTTTTTCTTTGCTTTTTTTTTAAATTTTGCAAACAGGTACTTTTTCTCCATCACTGATGTGGGATGATGAGGCTGCACTGATAGGCAGCACTGATGGGCACTGATAGGCAGCACTGATGGGGTGGCACGGATAGGCGGCACTGATGGGCAGCACTGATGGACGGCACTGATGGGTGGCACTGATGGGCAGCACTGATAGGCAGCACTGATGGCCACAGGTGGGTGGCACTGCAGGGCACAGGTGCGTGGAACTGATGGACACAGGAGGGTGGCTCTGCAGGGCACAGGTGGGTAGCACTGCAGGGCACAGATGGGTGGCACTGCAGGGCACAGGTGGGTGACACTGCTGGGCACAGGTGGGTGACACTGCTGGGCACAGGTGGGTGGCACTGATGATCAGTGCCGATACCTTCGCTGACAATTGCCAGTTCTTGGCAGTACTTT